CTTTAATGCTTCGTAAAACACTACCTGAGATGGAAAAACAGAGCGACCATGAGGAGACAAAGACCCTAAGATGAACGGAGGTAACAGTTTTACAGAAGTGCCATATTACATAGTGACATAGTCATACCATAAGACCAGCAAAAGGCACGTCCCTCGCTAGTGTAGACCAATATCTGCCAGAGGAAAAAGGAAAATAATAACATGGGTCTCTTGACACAAGTCGACAATCAGGATGATTTATTCAATTCACAATAATAGCCTGAGCAAAAGTTACATACCCAGCATACAGCCCTTTTGGCCCTTGCTCTTTCCATATTGAGCATCCAGCCTGGAACATTCCAGTGTAATAACCATACATGTCACCTCTTGGTTTCACCGGAACGCTGTTCCTCAAAATAAAAGAGCTCCAGGAGCTACTAGTGCCTTGAATTTGCATTCGCTGCTTTATGACTTCACAAGGAACATATACGAAAGAACCAAGTGTATCACCTGAAACAAGGAAAGAAGCAGCAGAACACAAAAGGAATCAGAAGCTTTATAACTTCAGATAACTCTAGGTTTACTTTCATTTTCCAACTTTTTGGGAATCCCCTCATGAAGTGTATGTAAAATACAGCCACAATCTTTCATGATGATATTCACAACAAGGCCAGTCAATGACGTCTCATGATAGAGTAATAAATATTGCAACATATTCTCAAGTAAGTCTCAAGTAAGCAATCAGCAATTCTTGCAACCTTGCTCTAAAATGCGTAAGTTAGAATCATCATGTATCCGTAATAACCTGGATCTTATCTTTACAAGACCCACCATATCCGTGAGTTAGAATCATCACATAACATTGACATGTCTGAGAATATCTGATTCTTCAGCCAGGTTATATCTAGTTTCATTTCTGCTGCATGCTTGGCATTCTAAATCAATTTCCACTCGAGCGAACATATGTTTCCCTCCTATCTTTACCATTATTTCAATGATCAGATGAATGAGAGCGGAGACACTTAGATAACATACCAACTGCTCCTGCTATAAAATGCGCCCAGTGGCCCGCTAAGCTGGGATGAGACTCTTCAATCCATTTCTTTGTGGACTCAATAAAACCAAAGTAGGTTGCTCCAGTGGCAAGAGATCCAGTGACTCCAGGAGCAATGCCCCTATAAAAGCCTAAAATAAGGTGAGCAGCAAAATAAGATAAACAAAAAATACAGATCATAAATAGTTTTCTGTTCCAAGTTCTCAGCACAAACATGTACAGCATAGGACAGTGATGATAAGTAGGACAGTGAACCACACATACGCATGCCACAAGAAGATAAAAGGGAATGGATGATGCACCTTTTAATCCATCACCAACCCAGACCGTTCGGAGCATTTGTGGAATACTCTTTTGTCTCTGCAATCACAATTCGAGAGATTATACACTCCAAAAATAAAGGTAAGTACACAATCAGGTCTAATCTATATTTCCTAAGCCAAAGGCCACTGAAAGTGATGTTTTGTCAATAATACCTGAGTTGCATTCATGATAATTTGACTCTGAAGTCTGGTTTTGAGAGTATCCACGGGATGCATCATTCCTTCTCCAAAAGCTCCAGCTATACCTCCCCATAAGAACTCTCTCCACACTACATCAATGTGTTGTACGTTAGACTATTGACCAGACTTGCAACTATTAAATTCCGATGAAAGTGAAAAAGGTATGCCACTGAACATGATCCAGGTGTTCTCATCACAATCACCAGACGAAATCTCAACATTTCGCTAAAAAACTCATCGTCTAAGCGTAATCATGAACATAAATCAACGATTTCCGTCGCAACAAACCAAAGAGAAACGATGAGACGGAAGAAGAGAGACTCGTCGCTTACCGAAAAATTGATCATGCGTGGCTTTGATTTCGACGCTCTTACGGTAACTCAGAGGAGGTTGCTCATGGCTCGAATCCGGGCTCTTCGTCGCCATTTCCGTTGCAGAGAGAAGGGACTGAATCTTCTCGAAGCTTCCAAGAGTTTGTTAGGGTTTATGAGGTTTTAATGAAAGCAATGTTGCGCTTTCTCCAATTCGCCGTGACCGGCGACGAATACCAATTTGTGAACCGCAACGATTTACTGAAAACAATTAAAAATATTTGTTTTTTTCACATTTCCAGAAATTCTTATGGGTAAAATTGTAATTTCCACAATTCATTAGTCCTTTTCAGTAACTAAACTCTTCTCCAGGAGATCAACAACATAATTCCTACGAGCCGAAACCGAAATCGGCGGCGAGTTTTCCGGTGTATAAAATTTCTGGTTTGATCTTCTTCTTCTTCTTAATCTTCATATTCTTTCTCAAGGTCAATCTGTCATCCCAATATAACGTCTAAATTGATCATTTTATTCGAGTTTGGTTGCACTGCAGGTTCAATGCTACATGCTTTGACTTCGACGTCTCTGTTAAAAGTTATTACAGTTTATATTTATTGGCCCGCAAATGTTATAAAACATAAAGAAAATCGACCAACTAAAGAGGTCTCTACATGATAAACAACCTCAAACGTTAAATAGAGATTAAGAAACTTCCATAAGTTTAGACTGAAACCGCAAAACAAAAGTTCCAGGACGCAAACGTACACGGAGAAACATCGTGGAGACTAGGCTCTCTTGGCAACATCGCCATCGTCAGTCTGATCAAACCCATCTGGACCATTCTCTGTTTTACCATTCTCTGCATCACCAAATTGATTGTCACTGCCACCAAATTGTTCATCGCCGCCGAATCCGCTATCAAGCTGATGATCTGTATCGTTGCCTAATGGTTGGTTGCTGCCAAACTTGTTATCAAAGCCAGCATTTGAGGAACTGCCTTGGGCAAAGTTGTCACTTCCACCAACACCACCCGCAACACCATATCCGCCACCACTGCCAAGATTGCTTCCATAACCACCACCACCACCAACAGCATTTCCAGTATAAGGAGGGTTACCTCCATAACCACCACCACCCCCAGCATTTCCACCATAGGAAGAGTTACCGCCATAACCACCACCACCCCCAGCATTTCCACCATACGAAGAGTTGCCTCCATAACCACCAGCTGGAGCACCATAACCTCCAGCTGGAGCACCATAACCACCGTCTGAAGCACCGTAACCACCACCAGGACCACCGAATCCCCTTCCTCCAAATCCACTTCCTCTTTCAGTTGCATAATTCACCCTAATTCTTCGACCATGAAGGTCCTATACAAAAAAAAAAACCCAATAAACACCAATTGAAAATGCCAAGCAAAGTAGGTTCTTCAGCGTTTTCTGAATCATCTAGACACAGTCTGAACACACAGCTTTCATTTTGTAACAAGATATACAATCCACAAACAGAAAGATATATTGCCCCACCTTTAATCCCTTCATTAAGAGCAAGTCGCTGCTTAACGGATTAACAGTATTTCAAGCTAGATGATAAACATCTAGCCTACCTATGTTGCCAACGTTTGAAAGGACAAAAATTTAAGTGTTCTAGAAAGATGAATCGTCAAGGCACAACGATTTGAAAAAGGTCAAACATCCAAAAACAAACAATATTGGTCAGAAAAGGAACGACAAAGAAATAAGGCACACAACATCTTAGTATCAAAACAAGTTGGAACATTTGTGTGATACCTGTCCATCCAATTGCATGGCATTACTAGCCTCCTCAGTGGAAGTAAATGTTACGAAAGCAAAGCCCCTAGATCTGCCTGTTTCACGGTCCACAATAATCTTTGCTGCAATTGATAAAAATTAGTCAGCTGTCAAGAGTAAAACCACAAAATAATTCAGAGGCAAAAGAAAGATAATACTTCAAAGGCTAGAGTTTTGCAATAACTTAAAGGGATATAGCTAGTTACCATCAACAACTTCTCCATATTTGCTAAAAGCTTCTCTTAAGCCAAACTCATCAGTGCTATAGGAGATACCTGAAGAAACATAGACAATTTTGAGACAAACAAGCAGATAAAAACAGGAAAAATAAAGAGAGTACTTTCTCGCAGAGCCGAATTAGAGTCATAGTCACCTCCAACAAAGATTTTTGATGAAGACATGCAGCGGATGCTCTGTAGCATTGAGCTAGAGGCAGTGACATGGCTGCTGGTCTGACTAAATATCCTTCCAACTTTACTTAAGAAAGCCATTTGGTGTATACCTGTATTCTAGAAACAAATGAAAGAGCAATCACTTGGTGGTTAGGCAAATTTAAGGACACATCAAAACATAGATTAGTGCTTTCAGAAAAAGGTGGTTACAGAAGATGAAAGTTATGAGAAGACCACGCGTAAGACCCATCAATTCAATCGTCAATAAAATCAAGAAAAAGCATTCTTTCATCAAATAAATCATCTACAATACAAGAAAAATAAAAACTTCATGATCTGTTCTCATGTTTTGTTACACATATGGTGACCGAAAGATTATCAGACACGAAAAATCTATGCTGTCACAATATCAGTTTACAAAATTTCTAATTCCAGCAACAAACATCAGTTCCTAGGGAGAATTTAAGAAAAATTTAACCAAAGCTTACAAGGTCAACTCACTAAACCCCATATATAGCATCAATAAACACATCTAAATTCCAAATCAAAGTCGTAAGGTTGCAAAAGAGAATTATGAAAAAGGTATTGAGCAGAAAATCAACAAACAGAGAACAATTTTAGTTTCGGATCAAACGAATGAAACATCGGAATAAAAGATCGAATCCATAAAAGCAAAAGAAATTAACAACTTTAAATAGAAAGAGGAAAGGAAGAATCGACGAGACTGTACCTAATCTCTAGGGTTTAACGGAGATGATCTCTCTGGAAGCGTCTTTCAATTCTCGCCAGTAGTGAAAACCCTGAGAGGCTTATGCTAAGAGTTTCGCTTATCTTGTCCGTTGATTTATTTTAGATAATCTTGACCGTTGATTCATTTAGACTCGGTTAAACTAAACCAATCGAATTGAGTCAAAACCGAAACCGGATTAAAATGATCAATCTTTTTTTATCTTTACTTTTAGCAATGGCGAAAAATAGTTGATTAAAGTTGGGTACTAATTATTATTTTCAGTAAGAAAATAACAACTCCTTGACGCGTGCATGTCCTTTAAACTCTCAATCTCCAAATTCCAAAACCCAACAAAAAAAAAATCCTCTGAAATTTACTAAAATTAATCTCTTCTTGCTTGTGTTCATCGTCTTCATCGTAATCCTCTGAAACGTAAGGCTAATAATCAAATCTCTTCGTAAAATGTTATTGATGTTTTTTTCTTTGGTGAAATCTATAATTCTTTGTCTTGCTACGTTTCAGATTGAAAATATTGGCAAGAAGTAGATAAAACTTAAAACCCAAGAAACAGAGATTCTTACGTTTTGGAATCATGGAATCATCTCAAGAACAAAGTTTTTTTAACCCCACGAACCAAAGCTCGAAAAACCTAGCTTCTAAACCTGAGACAGAAGATCCAATCTCAAGACTTTCTTCTTCTTCTTCCTCTTCTTGTTCTTCCATAGAAGCCGAACCAAGACCTGATCAGAATCTAAACAACAATGTAGAGCAATCTCCTCCGACACAGGTCATGGAAAGATCCACAAACAACACAACAACAACAACAACAACAACGACTTCGAGCCCTAATACACCTCCTTACAGAATCCCTTCACATGTTTTCGCAAGAACAACCTCTACAGCTCCAGAATGGAGCACTATGTCCAATGAATCTCTTTTCAGCATCCACATGGGTAACAATAGCTTCACGGGTGGAGATTATTTCAAATCCGGCGAGCTCACGTTTCCTCAGCCTCCTTCACCAATAACTCCTCCTTTGCCTTCGCCTTTACCATCCCCTCCCCACAACGCGAACCAAGGAGGAGCCGTAGGACCTGCGGCTGAGGTAAAAACTCCGGTGGATATAGGCAAGAAAGCAGCTGAAACAGATAAAGCTTACCGCGCAAGTAAAGAAGACGAGCAAAAAGCTGCAGCAAGTATAAGAGAGGTTATCATGGCTAATGAAGCAGCTAACAAAGACAACAACAATAACAACAATACCAAAACCAATAAACTGGATCGTTCTGTTTCTCGTCGCTCAGAAGATTTAAGCCTCAAGTCTTTCGCTTTTCCAGTGTAAGATAAAAAAACTTTTCTTGATCATCTACCTCCGTTTCATGTGTTTCTTTTCTCATTTTATTATTTTGTTGTTCATTGCGTAGATTGGGGAATGCAGACAAAGGCGGGTTACAAGGTTCCACGCCTCAAAAGAAGCAGGGAAAGCCTTCGCAGCCAGAGACACCGCAGATTTCGACTGAAACTGAAAGAGATGAAGGATTGAAGAAAGAGGAAGCTCCTAAATCAGTAGCTCCTAAAGCAGAAGCGGAACGTGCTTCTAATCGCAACCCCAACTGGCTCTCTTGCTTCCCTTGTTGCACAACCTTCTGTGTCTAATGGAAACATCTTTTGAGGGGATTGCGTTTGATTTGTTTACCATCTTTAAGTTTGATAGAGAAATTATTTCCTTCTTCTTGGTATTATAGAAGTTTGTTCCAAGATTTACAAAGTCCTTTTTAACTTTTGTATTTAATCTTGTGAAGTAAACAATTACGATTTGATAAAGTTGAGTTTTTTTCTTTGATTTGATATTTAAAACTCCTCTCTGCTTCTTAACAACTTTGCTCTTCTTAAGAATGATCATTAAGACTTTATTCAATACAATTAATGGAAAACAATAGGTTTACTGATAGGTGTTAATGTGGAACTTTAAGCCTTTGCATAAGGGAGGACCAATGAGGCAATTTGACCCAAAAGCTGTCGTGGAGACTTGGAGGTATCAGGTAATGGAGATGTCCATTCTTGAAAGTTATGGAGGCTGCCTGTGAAATCAGTGAAGAGTCCATCAACTCCAATCTTATTGATCCAGTAGTCGTATTCCTTATATGGGTCTTGGCTAAAGTTAAAGTGTAAGTATTCGTGTTCATTCCTGTACGTATATGGATGCACCTGTGTAATTTGTATCACAACGAACATGGTCAAGAAGTTATTAGCATGTGTTACTGATTATCACTATCCGGGTGAATTTTAAATCCTACCTGTAGATTATGTGCGTGAGCTCTTTTGACCAAATCTGTGGGGGCGAGCATATAGTTGTTATTTACTGGAACTATTGTATCCTTCCATGGTCCGATACCCACAACATATTGCTTGATGTAGTCGAAATACGCATCTGATGTGATCTCTGCGTATGTCTGCTTGGATTTGCGAGAAAGATCTACCAATCATTTTTGATGGAAGCAAAAGAACTTTCAGGAATCGAAAACAATATGACGAGTAGAGCATTGACCTGGTTAGTGTCTTGCGTCGGCATGGTAACATCGTCTATTAGAAGGACTTTCGGCGAGTCTGTCAAATTTGATATGTACACGAGTGAAGTTGGGGCAAATGACTGAATAAATAATGGTTTTTTCAACCACTTCTTGGACAAATATGAGCCTCCATACCCATACTTCTTAAGTGTCTCCACAACTTTATCCTCAAATCTCTTACCACCAGGCCATTTGACCTGCAAATATATAACAGTGATAGCAGTAAAGGTTAAGGTCACCTGCAGGGGAAATGAAAGCTAAAAGGTAATCATTTTCTGCAAATTGAACCTAATGGTATATGTGGCTTTTTAAGTCAATCTAAGGGATTTCAGTAAAAGTAGAAGTCAAGCTTGTAGGATTGTGACTCACATGCTGGTTCATTAAAACTGGATTTTTAATCTCAGGATATATCCCAACAACTCTTGGAGCATCCCGAGCAATGGTAATGAATTCCTCAAATGTAATGATAGGGTACATTCCTGATATACAAACAAGGTATGGGCATGGTTAAATATTTCCTGTATTATGCAGTTCTTAGTTAATATCTTCCAACAGCCAAAATATAGGAAAGAAAGGCAAGCAAACCATTGTATTGCTGGTCCCGAAAAGTATATCGCTGTTTTGTACGTAGTTGCTTTAGTTCTTTGAGTGTAAAATCAACTACAAGCAATGAAAGAGGAACCAGTTGTTAGCGAATCATTTAAACTCAAACAAACCAACTTGAAACTTCATTAGATGCTTCTCTAGCTGTTATTGGATGAGATTATGTGCGAGAGATCTATTGAGCAAATGAAAAGGCTTTAAATGCAAAAAAAAAAAAAAAAAAAATCCTCAGCATGCATTGACTCAGGCCTAGGAAAAGAAAGGAGAATTGAGGAATACGTACAAGTGAAAAAGCCAGTGATGTTGAATCCTTGCACATCATATGTCCTTTTACGATCAGCAAACTCCTTGTGGCTTGCAACATCGGTTGTTTCGTCGAGGATACAATCATGGAAACATATAAGCACACCATCTTTGGATGATAAGATATCTGTTTCTATGAAGTCTGTACCTTCTTCAATTGCTTTCTATCATAAGACAAAAAAAAAAAATGCTTTAACAAATTGTTTTAAGGAAGAAGATCCACTTCAACAAACAAACTACTGTGCGATTTCTGTGAGTCAAGCTCTTAAATTCTCATCTTTAGACATGAAAAGTATGAACAAGCAATAATCAAATCAAAGAGAAGGAGATTGATAAAGAAAGTACCAAGTATGCAGCAGTAGTTTCTTCTGGGATCTCTCCATTGGAACCTCTGTGTGCGATGTTATAGGGACGTGAAGTCTGAAGTTGAAGGTTGACACTTTTAGGTCCTTTAACAGGGAGAGGGTGCAATGTCCTCCCAGCACACACAGTAAGTAGAGATAGCCAAATCAAGGGCAAGCATCCTGTAAGATCAACAATAATCAGTTTGTATTGACGTTAGCAGAAACAGAGCCAAGACTCGAACCTTTTTTGTTTAGCTTAACAGGAAACAAATCCAGATAAAATAGAATGATGAGAAATAAGCTTTGGTCTCTCAAGACCCAAAACTTTTTCTAAGCTTTGTAATGAAACAAGAAACAGATCCAAATTCAATAAAACTGATTGTCAAAAAAAAATAAAAAACTAGAAATAAGCATAGTCGCTCAAGATCAAAACTTTTTAATGTTTTTTAGTGTATAGTAAAAAGGAAACAAATCCAGATTCTTTCTTTATTCTCAACCTATTCACTTCTTTTTCAATTTGCTATACAGTTTCATGGATGGGTAATGTTTTTACGAAGAAACTGTAAATTAGACAAATTTCACAAAAACCACAAGCTAAAGCAAATAGAAAGCAAGCAATCAAGTACTACCCAGGTGGAGAAAAGTATAACAATCAAAAACCCATAAAGATTTCATGCATACAAACCCAGAAAACAACAGAAAAGAAAGAGTTGAAATTAAGAAGCTTTTACTTACTTGCAAGAATCATGACGATCTGGTAGATCGATCGGATTGGATGCTTGTTTGATTCTCTTTGTTGTCTCTTATCCCACTCTATCGGTTATTGTCCATTTATAATAAAGTTTTTTTATAAATCTATTTATATCACTCTTACTCCATTACCGTTCTTGGGCGAAAATGTATCACTCACTCTTCTTCAATTCATATTCTTACGAATATTCCATAGTTTTGGTTGACGAAGACTTTTTAAGGTTGCATTTTTTTATTTCTTAATAAAAGTAGTAGTATTCTCTTCTTAATTTTTGTTTTTACTAGTATTTACCAAGCAACGCCTCTCCTTGCCAAAATTGCAAACAAAATCCTCCCGTCTCCCATATTCCCACACAAATGGCGATGCATTATCACTTTTTCCATTTTGATCCACAATGTATGTATTTGCGTTTGTTCTATTACTCACCATCGAAGCCTCATGCTGTGGTTCGCCGGAATATACTTGTTTGACGCCCAATCGAAGGTCCGGTGCGTCTTAATCGCTCTTCTAGCTTTATTCAACGGTCCGGGTCGACCCAATTGCTGTTTCTAACTCCGATGGATGGACAGCGACGGTGGTAGCCGCCGTTTCGTGTGGATGTAGGGTTTTTCTTGGGCGGAGGCGAAAATAAATTTTATTGAAGGAAACGATGGCGTTTTGGTGTTGGCGGTAACATCCACTGTTTCTGACGTGGCATATTTATGCCACATCAGCAATACAGTTACCGTTGAGTGGATGGTTGTTTGTTTGGCAGAGAGTTTAAAGGTAAGATCTTTTGTTCATATATCCTTTAGTTCCAATCCTAAGAAAGCCACACGAGCAATTTCCGTAGGCTTTTCGTCAAGTCTAGTAGTTCACATGTTTTAACAGAATTCAAAGTTAATGACTTTTAGTTCATTGAATGCGTAAGCAACCCTTGAATCATTTTGTGTTATATATGATTGTGAGTAGTTGTCTTAAAAAATCAATTCAAACATTTCATTCCTGGACCTGTGTTGCAATAATTTCATTCGTGAATTTATTATAAGCAAAATATCATATTATAAAAAAGCTTGGTCAGAGTACACGATGCTAACCACTCATTTTCTTCAAAGACTGACTTGTAGACCCAACGACTATTATCATACGAGTAAACGACTCAAAGTAAACGTTAGTTAGATGATAGTTATGACCACTCACGCTACGACCCGGGACTTCGACTTTTCAAATTTACAATTATTTCTTGATGAACTGGGTCTTTTCCACTGGAATTTTGAAATTCTTATAAACGTGGAGATATTTGCATTCAACTCACAGTCACGCACATATTGCCTTTGAGTTTCTTTTGTTTTGCTTTTTATATCATATTTGCTATGGAAGGGAAGGTGTTTTTGGGCCAATACTTGATATGGCTGATGTTACTGTTGGGACAAGTACATGGATACAGAAGCTGTATTGAGAAAGAAAAGAATGCTTTGTTGGAGCTCAAGAAATACATGATCCCAAGGAGGGTAGAATGGGAGCAAGAGCCTCTTCTCACTACTTGGACTAATGACACAAATAGCGATTGCTGCCGGTGGGAGGAAATCAAGTGCAATCCTACAAGCGGAGAGTTCTCTCCTAAACCTTTCTATGCTGCATCCCTTTGAAGAAGTTCGAAGTCTAAACTTAAAGTATTCGGGATTCATTGGCTTATTTGATGATGTGGAAGGTATGACCAGAGTTTCTCCCAGTGTTTATTTTCTTACCTCTTGTGGTCTCTATTTGGAAACTTTTTTGCCGCATTGACATGTTCCATTTCTAGTTGAGCTTTACCATATTTCTTTGGTTTCATTTGTTGAAAGTTGATACCGTTTAAAATGATTATACTTCGATTTTGGCCCTACATCAAAAAGTAATAGATCTGAATTAACTAACTTGATGATAACTAAATCTATCCCATGTAGCACAAAATTACATTCAACTATCACTCATGTTTTCTTCCGAAGTCCATGCAGTGCAACTCTCATAATCTTCATTTGCATGTAGAGCAGATTAATCTGATAATGAATATATTGAAGTGATTAGAGTGAGCCTGAAAGATAATTCTCTTATATTAGTTTGTTAATTTGTAAATCCATATAGAATTTGAAAATTTCTATTAATTATGAAATCAAGATATATGGATTTTGAAATAACATGTGTTTACCCATGGATTTGAATCCTTCTATTTTTCTCTTTCAATTCCATTCAATTCCATTTAAAACATAATTTGGATTCTCAAATCCAAAAACAAATGACTAAACGAATAACATAAGATTTTAACTAGTATTTATAAATCATAGAACCAATAACACATGAATTTAATTAGGATTTTAAAATCAATGATTGAATAACAAATGATTTTTGTTTGGATTTCTAATTCCATATAAATCTATGAACCAATAACCCCTCCTTAGAAGATTAAGAAAGTTGGAGATTCTGGATCTTTCTTTTAGTAAATTCAACAACAGCATCTTTCCTTTTCTTAATGCGGCTACATCACTCACAACTCTGTTTCTTAAGTCGAACTGGATGGATGGCCCTCTTCATGTTAAAGGTATATTTCTCCATTCTTATCCAAGTCAATACTATCTAGCAGGCATATTCTTGATGATGTATCTTTTGCTAGATTGATGCAATTTAAAATTGTTGTCATAACTTTTTTGTGTCATAAATTTGTTGACCTCCATTTCAGAACTCAGAGATTTGAAAAACCTGGAAGTACTGGACCTAAGTGAAAACAAATTTAACTGCTCCATACCAGTACGAGGTAGTTGTCCATAAGTGCTTTGCTTTCTTTTCTAGAGTGGAAAGTTAATTGATTAAAGGGCTGCAAACAACATTGTTGGATTGGTTTATATATCATCCTGTTCGTATTTAAAGTTGTTCACCTTTGTGTGGTTTTGTCTTGTGGTAGAGTTATCATCTGCCCTGAGGAAGCTGAAAGCTCTGAGTCTAAGTGGCAATAAAAAAATTGTGGTTGATTCACGTTTAGTCAAGTGACTAAAAATTCTGCATTTGGTCATTGCAGGGATTTGTGAATTAACGAATATTCAAGAGCTCGATCTCAGTAAAAACAAGCTTGTAGGTCAGTTTCCTTTATGCATAACTAACTTGACTGGAATTCGAGTTCTTGATCTCTCATCGAACCAATTGATTGGGAACGTACCATCTGCTCTCGCTAACCTTGAATCCCTTGAGTACCTATCACTGTTTGATAACAACTTCGAAGGCTTATTCTCACTTGGTTGGCTCGCCAACCTCTCAAAGCTTAAGGTGCTCAGGCTTGATTCATATACCAACTCACGTAGAGTAGAGTTGGAAAGTTCTTGGAAGCCAAAATTTCAGTTGAGTGTTATTTCACTAGGAACTGGCAATTTGGAGAAGGTTCCTCATTTTCTCCAATACCAGAAGGATTTGCGTTATGTTGATCTCTCTAACAATAATATTTCTGGAAATTTTCCTTCATGGCTTTTGGAGAACAATATAAAACTCGAGGTTTTGCTTCTACAGGATAACTCTTTTACAAGCTTTCAGCTACCGCAGTCTGATCATAATCTCCTTTACCTGGATGTTTCAGTTAATGAATTTGATCAACTCTTTCCTCAGAACATTGGGTGGATACTTCCTCGCTTACTTTATATGAATCTAACGAATAATGGTTTTCAAGGAAATCTGCCATCTTCTCTGGGTAACATGGAAATGATTGAATTTCTGGATATGTCTCACAACAGTTTCCATGGTAAGCTACCAAGAAGTTTTTTGAAGGGTTGTTGTTCCTTAGAGTTCTTGAAGTTGGCACATAACAAACTAAGTGGAGAGATTTTTCCAGAATCAGCACACTTTTTTTTTTATGCTAGAGCTGTCTATGGATAACAATCTGTTTACAGGAAAGATTGGAAGAGGTTTGCGGAGCTTGAGATCTTTGTTTGTGATTGACATTTCGAACAACAATCTCACAGGTCTTATTCCAAGTTGGTTTGACGAATTTCCAGATTTATCTGCACTACAGATTTCTAACAACTTGTTGAAAGGTGAAATACCTACATCGTTGTTCAACTTATCCAATCTTCAATTACTGGACCTATCTGCAAACAGGTTATCAGGGAACATACCTCAAGCCATTTCTGGATATGGGGCATTAACAGTGTTACTCCTGCAAGACGATAATTTATCAGGGGTTATTCCAGATACAATGCTAGCAGCAAATGTCATTGTGCTTGATCTAAGAAATAACAGATTGTCTGGGAATATTCCAGAGTTCATCAACACCAAATACATCAGAATTCTTCTTCTCCGAGGGAATAATTTATCAGGCCGTATTCCTCGCCAGTTGTGTGCCCTAAGAAGCATTCACCTCGTGGATCTTGCTAACAACAGATTAAATGGATCCGTACCTTCATGTCTTCGCAATGCATTATTTGGTTTGGCGAAAGAGGATACATCATACGATTATAATCATGTCATTTTTTTCTGAGGAAACATCATATGGCGCTATATTTTTCAAATCTCTGCTCATGCTAGATGAGTTTACCATCAATTACGAGTTAAGCGCCCAGACGATAATCGAGTTCGCAACAAAACACAGATATGATGCCTACAAGAGTGGAAATCTCAAATTATTGTTTGGAATGGATCTCTCAGAAAATGAGCTGAGCGGTGAGATCCCAGTAGAGTTTGGAGATCATCTGAAACTACAAGCTCTCAATCTATCTCACAACAACTTATCAGGAGTGATACCATAAACCTTTTCAGGTCTGAAGAATGTGGAAAACCTTGATCTTTCTTTCAACAGATTACAAGGTCGGATCCCACCAGAACTAACAGAGCTGAGCAGCCTAGCCGTCTTCAATGTCTCATTCAACAACTTATCAGGAGTTGTTCCACAAGGAAGACAGTTTAACACATTTGATACACAAAGCTACTTTGGTAATCCTTTTCTCTGTGGACAACCAACCAACACAAGCTGCAACAGCAATAACTTTGAAGAACCAGATAATGGAGTGGAAGCTGATGAATCCACAATCGACATGGTATCTTTCTACTGGAGTTTTGGTGCAGCCTATGTGACCATACTTCTTGGGATACTCGCATCACTATCTTTTGATTCTCATTGGAGCAGAACTTGGTTCTACATCGTTGATTGCTTCATCCACAAGGTGAGGGGTTTGTTTTGGTAAACACTGCAGCTGCCAAACGCTCCTTATGTGATTTTTTTTTTTCATTGTCGTCTCCATCTGGTGTTAAGTCTTCTCAAACTTCTTGCTTTGTTTCACAAAACCAGAACATAACCTATGTTTTGGTTCCTTTGTACTGTCTTTGAATAAAAGTAATGCCTCAATCATATCTTGGAACTGGTTTAATTCATAATCTACAGTAACACATGAATTTCTTCATGAAACAATTTCATAGTAGAAAGAAACAGTACACATACCAATGATAAATGAAAAGTTACCTTTAATTTCAAGTTGCTTCTCTGTGTTTGTTAGAAGTAATCCTAAATGTACTCGGCTTTACACATAGAGTTTTTGACCCTTTTTTTTTTCTTTTTTTTTTTTGCAATATATTCTTATGCAACTTAACTTTTCGAATTTATCTTTGTTAATTAACAGGTTAGTCCTTCTAACCTGTAAGCTTGGAGGTTTTTGGACATCAAATCTACAATCCAGTTTGATGGTTGTGCAGTCAAGAAGATCATAGAGGAATTATATCCATAAACTATTGAAAACTTACTCTTATTTTTTTTTTCACGATTCATTTTTTATAAACTTGTTCATTAGTAAAAGGAAAACAATTTTATTTTTAACAACTAATTTATTTCCTTTATTTGGATGACTAGTTGTAAATTTGTTTTCTTCGAAGCTTGGAGAGTAGTCACAGAGGTTGACTATAGATTTTCTTCGAAAAGACTACAACGACGCCGTTAAAATATCAAGAAAAACGACATCGACGCCACTACAACGACGCCGTTAAAATATCAAGAAAAACGACATCGACGCCACTACAACGACGCCATTTAAATATCAAGAAAAACGACGTCAACCTCTGTTTCAGACTTTCAGGAGGCCAAGAGAGCCTCATCAACTCCGTCACCGTTGGTCTTTCCTCAAGTCTAGTGGTTGTTCAGCAGAATTCAATGGCCAGGACTTTATTCATTGAATCATATAAGCCTGGGAAATAAATATTAGGAGGCATTTTCAACAAAAATCATTAAAATATTCATTGAATGATTCAAATTTCAAAGGTACTATAAGACTAAACGAATGTGATCACATGAATCTTAACTGTTTTAAGTAATAGAAACTTCAACTTTGTAAATATAAACAATCCAATATTATTTGTTGAAATTCTTTTACGTGGAGATACAACTTGTATATAACTACATTGCGTTTGAGTTTCATAGATTTGCTTCTCTTCTTTTTATTTCATCACATTTGCAATGGAAGGGAAGGTGTTCTTGGGTCAAAACCTGATATGGGTGATGCTACTGATGGGGCAGTTACATGGATACAAAAGTTGTATTGATAAAGAAAGGAACGCTTTGTTCGAGCTCAGGAAATACATGATCTCAAGAACTGAAGAAGACCAATCCGACTCTGTTCTCCCTACTTGGACCAATGATACAACCAGTGATTGCTGCCGATGGAAGGGCGTTGCGTGCAATCGTGTAAGCGGACGGGTGACCGAGATTGCCTTTGGTGGATTGAGCCTGAAAGATAATTCTCTCCTAAACCTCTCTTTGTTGCATCCCTTTGAAGATGTTCGAAGTCTGAACTTATCAAGCTCCAGATTCAGTGGCTTGTTTGATGATGTGGAAGGTATACCATTCTTTCCCTAATGATTACTTTTAACATTTTTGTGTTGAATTGCCACTTTGATCTTTTCCCTGTGTGGACTAATTCTTAGTTCATTTTTTTTAAGATCAAGAAAGTCAATATCTTCTGATAGTAAAGTGCTTAGCTTTTCTTGTTTCTGCATTTACTTGCTGAGCCATGTTGCATGTTGCAATGAGAGACATCAAACGTTCACAATCTCTCATAATATTATAATTATTGATTAGAGTGATCTATGTTATTTTCATATACAATGTTAACAAGATTCTCGTTTGCAGGTTATAAAAGCCTCAGAAGATTAAGAAAGTTGGAGATTCTGGATCTTTCTTCAAATAAATTCAATAACAGCATCTTTCATTTTCTTAGTGCCGCTACATCACTCACAACTCTGTTTCTTAGGTCCAATAACATGGTTGGCTCTTTTCCTGCTAAAGGTATCTCTACACTCTAAAACTAAATCATACCATCTAGCATGACCTTTCTATTGATCATAATATTGCTGTAGAGTTTGTATGTCTTTAATTAATTTCAGTATGTACCATTCTTTTTTGTTGGATGCCCTTTCAGAACTTAGAGATTTGACAAACTTGGAATTACTAGACCTGAGTAGAAACAGATTTAACGGCTCCATACCAATACAAGGTAAGTTTTTTATTTTAAAAATGCTTGCCTTTCTTTTCTATAGTGGAAACTTAATAGATTTAACGGCTAAAAACAACATTGTTTGAAAGGTTTATATAATCCTTGAGCTCATCACATTCGTATCTAAAGTTCTTTACCTTACATATATATGGTTTTGTCTTCTGGCAGAGTTATCTAGTCTAAGGAAGCTGAAAGCTCTGGATCTAAGTGGCAATGAATTTTCTGGCTCAATGGAATTGCAAGGCAAGTTCTCCACTAATCTTCAAGAGTGGTGCATTCACGTTTATTAAGTGACTAAAACTTCGGCATTTGGCCATTGCAGGGATTTGTGAATTGAAGAATACGCAAGAGCTTGATCTCAGTCAAAACCAACTCGTAGGCCATTTCCCCTCATGTTTAACTAGCTTGACTGGACTTCGAGTTCTTGATCTTTCATCGAACCAATTAACTGGGACGGTTCCATCTACTCTCGGTAGCCTTCCATCCCTTGAGTACTTGTCGTTGTTTGATAACGACTTTGAAGGTTCCTTCTCATTTGGTTCACTCGCCAACCTCTCAAACCTAATGGTGTTGAAACTTTGCTCAAAATCCAGCTCTCTTCAAGTATTGTCAGAAAGTTCTTGGAAGCCAAAATTTCAGCTGAGTGTTATCGCGCTACGCTCTTGCAACATGGAGAAGGTTCCTCATTTTCTCATACACCAGAAGGATTTGCGTCATGTTGATCTCTCAAACAATAAAATCTCTGGAAAGCTTCCTTCTTGGCTGTTGGCGAACAATACAAAACTCAAAGTTCTGCTTCTACAGAATAATTTCTTTACAAGCTTTCAGATACCTAAATCTGCTCATGATCTGCTTTTCCTCGATGCGTCAGCTAATGAATTCAACCATCTTTTTCCTGAGAACATTGGGTGGATTTTTCCTCATTTACGGTATATGAATATATATAAGAATGATTTTCAGGGAAATCTGCCATCTTCTCTTGGTAACATGAAGGGTCTCCAATATCTGGACCTGTCTCACAACAGTTTCCACGGGAAGTTACCAAGAAGTTTTGTGAATGGTTGTTATTCCATGGCAATCTTGAAGCTGTCACATAACAAACTAAGTGGAGAGATTTTTCCAGAATCAACCAACTTAACTAGTTTATTGGGGTTGTTTATGGATAACAATCTGTTTACTGGAAAGATTGGACAAGGTTTGCGGAGCTTGATAAACTTGGAACTGCTTGACATGTCAAACAACAATCTCACGGGTGTTATTCCAAGTTGGATTGGCGAGCTTCCATCCTTAACTGCACTTCTGATTTCAGATAACTTCTTGAAAGGTGAAATACCAACGTCGTTGTTCAACAAATCAAGTCTCCAGCTGCTAGACCTCTCAACAAACAGTTTATCTGGGGGCATACCTCCACACCACGATTCCAGAGACGGGGTAGTGTTACTCCTGCAAGACAATAATTTATCAGGTACTATTGCAGACACATTGCTTGTAAATGTCGAAATACTTGATCTGAGAAACAACAGATTCTCTGGAAATATTCCGGAGTTCATCAACACCCAAAACATTAGTATTCTTCTACTACGAGGGAATAAGTTAACAGGTCGAATTCCTCACCAGTTGTGTGGCCTAAGCAACATCCAACTTCTTGATCTTTCTAACAACAGATTGAATGGATCCATACCTTCATGTCTCAGCAATACATCATTTGGTTTTGGTAAAGAATGTACATCATATGATTATGATTTCGGCATTTCTTTCCCTTCTGATGTCTTCAATGGTTTTTCTCTGCATCAAGACCTCTCCTCCAACAAAAATAGCGGTATATATTTCAAATCTCTGCTCATGCTTGATCCGTTTAGTATGGACTACAAGGCAGCCACACAGACGAAAATCGAATTTGCAACAAAACACAGATATGATGCCTACATGGGTGGAAATCTCAAGTTATTGTTTGGAATTGATCTCTCAGAAAATGAGCTGAGCGGTGAGATCCCAGTAGAGTTTGGAGGTCTTTTGGAACTACGAGCTCTTAATCTTTCTCACAACAACTTATCAGGTGTGATACCAAAAAGCTTGTCAAGTATGGAGAAAATGGAAAGCTTTGATCTTTCTTTCAACAGATTACAAGGCCGGATCCCAGCACAACTAACAGAGCTGACCAGCCTCTCGGTATTCAAAGTCTCACACAACAACTTATCAGGAGTCATTCCAGAGGGACGACAGTTTAACACATTTGATGCAGAAAGCTACTTAGGTAATCGTCTCCTCTGTGGACAACCAACCAACCGTAGCTGCAACAATAATAGCTTTGAAGAAGCAGATGATGAAGTGGAAGATAATGAATCCACAATCGACATGGAATCTTTCTACTGGAGTTTTGGTGCTGCTTATGTGACAATACTTGTTGGAATATTGGCATCTCTATCTTTTGATTCACCTTGGAAAAGATTTTGGTTCGACACCGTTGATGCTTTCATCCACAAGGTGAGGAATTTATTATATATTGTAAGTGACTCCTGGTTTGTGTAATAAAACCAGAACATAACTTCTGTTTGATTCCCATGTACTATCTTTGTCTTTAAAGAAATGTACAATCTAAAGAAACTGCACGTAAAACATGACATCTATCACATTTGTTTGAAAATCCATGACACAGCAGAGAGTAAGTAGAGACATCCATATCATTATATCAAGGGCAAGAATTATGTAAGATGATGAAACAAAGCCAAAAAAACAGATGCAAGACCTAAATCCAGATTCAATAGAATGTGATGTCTCATTCTCAAGACCAAAAAAAATTCTAGCTTGTTGAGAACAAATTTGAAGGAAAAGCCGAAGCTAATGCAATAAAAGAAATTGATCAAGCAATATACCCACCCAGGTGGAGTAAACTAGAACAATGAGAAACACAGGAAAACAATTTACAACTTCAGAAGCTTACTTGCAGTCGCAGAATTTATCTTTGTTAGCTCTGCTTAAAGCTTTGCTGAATATGATAATGCTAAGCACGCCACATGTATGTGATACTTTTTCAAAGATTGACTTTGTAAATATACATATATATATTTTCTTTTGCAACTTGCTTTTTCTCTTTGTCGAACAGCAGTTTAGATGCTTGTAAACATGAATATATTTGGACATCAAATTTACAATCCAGTTTTTTTCTTTGGCTCATACCAATGGAAGGGAAAGTGTTCTTGGGCCAATACTTAATATGGGTGTTGATACTGATGGGGCAGCTACATGGATACAAAAGCTGCATTCAGAAAGAACGGAATGCTTTGTTGAAGCTCAAGAAATACATAATCTCAATTAGTGAAGAAGGGGATTTCAACTTTTTTTTCAATACTTGGACTAATGACACGAAGAGCGATTGCTGCCGGTGGGAGGGTGTTGAGTGCAATCGTACAAGCCGACGGGTTATCAGACTTTCCACTGGTAAATCCTCTGTTGTAGAGGATTCTCAACTAAATCTTTCTTTGCTGCATCCCTTTGAAGAGGTTCGAAGTCTAGACTTATCTGGGGACGGAGCGTATGGATTCAGTGCCTTGTTTGATGATGTGGAAGGTACCAGGTTTCCCCAGTATTAGGTTTAATTAAATACTTATCTCTGTATGATTTGCTAAGCAGATTTTTTTTTCTTGCAGGTTATAAAAGCCTAAGGAAATTAAAAAACCTGGAGATTCTAGATCTCTCATCAAATGGATTCAACAACAGCATCTTTCCCTTTCTTAATGCCGCTACATCAATCAAAACTTTGATTCTTCGGGATAATATAGTGCATGGTTCATTTCCTCTCAAAGGTGCGTTTGTCGATCTTCTTTATCAAGGTGTATATATCTAGAGCAACCTACAATGCATCTTCGGTTGGATCCATTTAACATATTGCAATTCATATGACCTTTTTATGCCTTACATTCTCTTCTTATCTTTCTTATATTCTCATGGAATTCTTTCAGAACTTACAAACTTAACAAACTTGGAAATGCTAGATCTAAGTGGAAACAGTTTAAACAACTTCATATCAGTAGAAGGTAGCATCTACAGTAATCATTACTATCCATGGATGCTTGTCTTTCTTTTCTAGACTAGAATCTCAACATAATTATTTCCATATAACAGAGTTGGATTGGTTTATGCCATCATGTCCATATTTCGTGATCTCTTGGTTTGTCATGTGGCAGAGTCTCATCACCTAAAAGACCTGAAAGCACTGGATCTAAGTAGTAATGTATTCTCCAAGTCAATGGAATTTCAAGGCAAGTTTGCTCAATTTTGTACCATTTTAAAGTAAAAACCTAGGTGATTTTATGAACTTTTTCAATTGATCATCGTAGGTATCTGCAAATTGAAAAATCTGCAAGAGCTTGATATCAGCGATAGCGAACTTTCAGGCCAGTTTCCTTTATGTATAACTACCTTAAGTGGACTTAGAGTTCTTGATCTCTCATCCAACCAATTGACTGGGAAATTACCATCTTCTATCGGTAACCTCAAATCCCTTGAGTACTTATCCCTGGTTGATAACAACTTCGAAGGCGTCTTCTCCCTTGGTTTGCTCGCCAACCTCTCAAAGCTTAAAGTGGTCACACTTTGCTCAAAATCAAATTCACTGCAAGTAGACATGAATACTTCTTGGACACCAAAATTTCAGCTGAGTGTAATTTCACTACGATATTGCAACTTGGAGGAGGTTCCTCGATTTCTCCTGCATCAGAAGGAATTGCGTCAAGTTGATCTTTCCAACAACATAATTTCCGGATTGTTTCCTTCCTGGCTATTGCAGTACAATGCCAAACTCGAAGTTTTGCTTCTGCAGAACAATTCACTTACAAGCTTTCGGCTACCAAAAGCTGCTCATAACCTTTCATTCTTGGATGTGTCAGTTAATAAGTTCAATCAAATATTTCCTGAGAACATTGGGTGGATACTTCCTAACTTACAGCATATGAATCTATCGGAGAACAGTTTTCAAGGAAATCTGCCATCTTCTCTGGGTAACATGGAAAACATGTACTTTCTTGATATCTCTCGCAACAGTTTCCATGGGAAACTACCGAGAAGCTTTGAAATGGGCTGCTATTCCATGAGATTCTTGAAGCTGTCTCATAACCAACTAAGTGGGGAGATTTTTTCAAGATCACCAAACTTTACTCAGTTATTTGCATTGTTTATAGATAACAACCAGTTCACTGGAAAGATCGGAGACGGTTTGAAGAGCTTGAGATCATTGAACATACTTGACATGTCAGGAAACTATCTCACAGGTGTTATTCCAAGTTGGATTGGGGAAGATCTAAGCTTGCATATGCTATTTATTTCAAACAATTTGTTGGAAGGTGAAATACCTGTTTCTGTGTTCAACATGTCTTTCCTTGGACCATTGGACCTCTCTGCAAACAAGCTATCCGGGGCCATACCTCCACGCCTCAATTCAAGGCTTAATGTTGTCTTAAATCTGCAAGATAACAATCTGACGGGGCCTATTCCGGACACATTGCTGGAAAATGTTGTTGTGCTTGATCTGAGAAACAATAGATTTTCTGGTCATATCCCAGAGTTCATCAACACTCAAAACATCAGTATTCTTCTTTTGAAGGGAAACATGTTGACAGGCCCTATTCCTCGAAAGGTTTGTGAATTCAGAAGCATCAGCCTTCTGGATCTTTCTAACAATAGATTGAATGGATCAATACCTTCATGTCTTAGCAAGACATCATTTGGTAAAGGAAAAGATTTTGAGCCATATGAGTATGATTCCTCCGTTACCTATGATGATTTTGGTCTGGAAATGGAAGGCTTTACCCCTACAAATTCAAGAAGATATTACAAATCTCTTCTTGTGTTAGATCATTTTAGTGTGGAATACACCTCAGCCATCCAGACTAAAATAAAATTTGCAGCAAAACAACGCTACGACACCTACATGGGTGGAAGTCTCAGGTATATGTTTGGGTTGGATCTCTCAGAAAATGAGCTAAGCGGTGTGATCCCGGAAGAGGTTGGAGATCTATTGGAACTGCATGCGCTGAATCTTTCTCACAATTACTTATCGGGTGCCATACCAGAAAGTTTTTCCAGAACAGATAATATGGAGAGCCTTGACCTTTCTTTCAACAGTTTACAAGGCCGGATCCCATCCAAACTAACAGAGATGAGCAGTCTGGCTGTCTTCAATGTCTCTTACAACAACCTATCGGGCGTCATTCCGCAAGGAAGACAGTTTAACACCTTTGATGAAAGCAGTTACATTGGGAATCCTCTTCTCTGTGGAAAACCTACCAACAGAAGTTGTAGTAGTAGCAATGTTCTAGAAGAACCAGAAGATGATGACGCTGCAGTCTTCATGGTATCTTTCCGAAGGAGTTTTGTTGTTGGATATGTGACCATAGTTCTGGGAATACTCGCTTCACTCTCTTTATATTCTCCTTGGAGCAGAGCTTGGTTTAGTGTTGTTGATGCTTTTATCCATAAGATGAAAAAATTGTCATCCTGAGTTACATTGGTAAGAGGTATCTGTAATCTGGTCTCTAACTACTGTATCCTTTGATGTGCCAATATATTCTTATGCAACTTGGTTTTACCATTTCTTCTCTTTGACAAATAGCAGTGCTAATGCTTATATTGGTAGCATTTGGACATCGTACTTACAATCCAATTTCGAAATTTTGGTTACTTTTTTTTGTTCAATCCAAAGAAGAGGGAGATTTTCTTGAGCCAATACTTGAACAAATGCATAACTTGAACAATCAAAATACTTGAGAAGGTTTTGTTCACAAAACAAGTGCATAACTTGTCTTTGGCTCCTGTGTACTGTCTTGTCAGTCTTTGAATAAATGTAATGCTTCAAAAGTTGGGGAAAATCCCTTAGTTACTCTTGTACCAGAAGAAGTTGTGTGTTAGTTGATCTATCCAGCAATGCACAATAGATGATCTGAAAATATTCCAACTGGGAAGTTTTACATTTGCAGACAATTTATTCTCTGTCTTCCAGTTGCCTACAGAGAATATATTTATGCCAAGATAACAACTTATTTCAAGGGAAGATCATAGTCAGAGTTTTTTTCTTTTTCTTTTTCGAAACATGGATTCCATATAGTAAAATTAGGGTACTGTAACATACTCTAAAAATCTTTTTATCAAAAAAAAAAAAAAAATGGTTCTTCATCAACCTCATCAAGCAATCAGTTTCTTCATCCTCAGCTAATAATGGTTCTTCATCCTCTGCTAATAATGGTTCTTCAATCAATCTGTCTTTGTGAGACCATTTTCTTTTTTCTGTCAGGTTTCTTAGTAGTCTTCTTTAATATATCTGATAATGATGCATCGATTTCGCTCTGTTTCTGTGGCCATTTTCTTTTTCTAAGAGGTTTTGGTTTTGCAACCGCGCTGCAATGCATCACATAAACGGCTGTATCCATAAAATCCGGACTTGAAAACTGGTGGAGTTCCCATCTATCGTCTTCTTCTATTGGAAAAGGCTTGAAAACACGGTGTTTCACTTCATTGATCATCTCACTCTGAACATCCATCCACACTTGACCAATCATCGTGCTACGAACTTCTATCCACTTGAAATCCTCCAACGTAATAGGAATCTGATAGGAGCCAATGAACTTCCAATTTTGTGACCATAAGAGCTTTCTATTGGAGAACATATTTGAATTCCAAGGAGGGATTTTAAATAGATCTTGAGAGAAGTAAGGAACGTAGAGAATTTTGGCAGCATAATATTCGTAAACTGAACAAAATGGGACTGGCCTCAAAAGTGGGCGTATGTTTTTTGAAAGACCAGTAGCTATAATCAGGCAGGAGTCGCTGCAATAGTCTAATGATCCTGATGGATGTCAGAGGCAATCCAACCGTGCACATTGCTCACTCATCATCGGAACCCGATGAACAACCCGAGTATTGGCATTCATGATAGCTACCCGTGTAGGCAAGTGATTCGGTGACCAAGATCTGTAGCGACGTTTATGTAAGGTTGGCTTCCGAGTCGGAGTTCAAAAGGTTAGATGACTTCTTCTTTTCTTTGAAAACGTTTTTCAATCTAAATGCATGTGAAGAAAAGATAGAAAGGGCTTTTTTAGCCCATTAAATTTCGCCGATTACTTGTAGTAAATTAAACAGCCCAACATACATAAACAAAGGATTCAAGGTGTAACAAGCCCAATAAATCAGGCTTGTCCGTACCAACCGATTCCTCATACTCACCTGCAGCAACTCTTAATCTGCTTCATCGGGCGAAGGTTTTCCGGGGTCAATCCCGTCTCTGGAGTTGTTCCTGTGATGACGGTTGTTTCTCTCTGTCCAGATTAGGTAGATCAGGGAAGATAACACGCTTAGTATATGATTTTAATAAATTAGTTTTGCTATTAAAACGAGTGGTAGAGTTTTAGTCATTAAAAAAATTCAGGATTTTGCCTTTTTCTTTATTCTGCTTTTGCTTAGTATAATCGTTTGCTTAACAAGTAGTAGAGGTTGGGATTTTTCATCAACTGCAACTTTGTCACCATTGGAAATTTAGTGGAATTCAGCAGAATTCAAGTAATGCAGGATCACAGCTTTTTCATAAACGTGCCTGCAATCCATACTGCAACCAGATATTGTTTCGGAATATTTCGGAGTTTGTCAACACCCAAATCATCAGAAATTTACAACTCTCATAAACGTACAGGTATGTGCAACAAACTCACAGTCCCACATTGACTTTGAATTTTTTACATTTGCTTTTGCATCATATTTGAAAACAAAAAAATCGGCCAATTTATATTCACATTGTGTGAGTAAGTCAAGTTCATACACATATTATAATGATGTGTAAATAAATTCATGCATGTACTAAAAAAATTGTCTGATTCATACACCGATTATGATCTTTGGCTAAAATCACAATCTTCTCGGATGCTGACCAAAAAAAAATCTTACCGGATAATTATTTCATTTTCTACAAAGGATGAAAAAGACCTCGACTTGTCTGCCGACAACGCCATATGCTTGTGCAAATGATAAGCAACGTATCACATGAGAACAGAGTCGATAATATCTTGGGCCCTTTGTGATATAATTTAGGTGGACACAATCTTCTGTGTACTGTATATATGTTTTATACAATCTAAATAGTTAAATTTCAAAATTATGAAACAAATAAGTTATTGATGGAAGATGACAAACTTTTTTTTTTAAAACGACAAACATTGTGAGCATACTACATAATGATTAAAATAAAAAGTTATCTATATATATGTTAATTACTTTCGTTATAGTGGTTTCATCGGTTAAAGTAAGAGAGGATTTGGAAAAAGGGATAACTTTGAGGTCATTGGGAAGTAGTGGTTGCTAAAAAAATGGTAATATTATTTATTTATTTTTGTCAAATTTTTTTCCAAGAATAGTAGAATTGGATTATTACGTGAAAGTGAAAGAGCAAAATTTGAGAGTTTTACCACATGTCAAAAGGAGAGTGTTGCAGTTTTTGTTAAAGTGACTGTTGATTTAGTATAAATAGATTCTTTTTTTCCCAACCAAAACATGGATATTTTTTACAATTTGGATCCGAAAATATGAAGTATTTTTGTTAAAATGTTGCGGATCATGTTTTATAATATCTTTGCACTTACTGACGACACACACAAGACATATCGAACGACTTGTACGCAATTAAAACGAGTCTTCTTATCATACGAGTCTTCTTAACATGTGACTATGTGAGTCGCGCTACAGATATTACATGCATGAGCTTAAATGTTTTTCATTGGTTGCAATTTCAACTTTCTATATACACAACTTTACTGTTGAAATTGCAACTTTCTATATACACAACTATTACTGTTGAACATGGTGTTTTCCACGAAGTTCTTATAAGGTGGGGTACTTGTATAGAACTCACAGTCCCACATTGCATTTGAGTTTTCTTTCACTGGCTTTTTATTTCTATCACATTTGCAATGGAAGGGAAGGTATTATTGGGTCAATACTTGATATGGGTAATGCTAGTTTTGGGGCAGCTACACGAATGCAAAAGCTGTACTGAGAAAGATAGGATGGCTTTAATGGATCTCAAGAAATACGTAGTCTCAACTTCTCTAGAAGGGTTATCGGAATTTGTTCTCACTGCTTGGACTAATGACACAAAGAACGACTGCTGCTTTTGGGAAGGCTTTGAGTGCAATAGTACAAGCGGACGGGTGATCGAGCTTTTCGTTGATTTCACGTATTGCAAACAGAGTTCTCTCCTAAACCTTTCTTTGCTGCATCCCTTTGAAGAAGTTCGACGTCTGCAATTATCTGACTCAGGGTTCGGACTCAGTGGCTTGTTTGATGACGTGGAAGGTATATCCGTCTTCTCCCATTTTTTTTATTTTCACCTGTTGTGCATGATCTTCTATTTGGAAACATATATTTCCCTGCATCCATAAGTTTGAATTCTAGATGAGCTTGATTTTGTTTCCTTGACTCGAATTTTTGAAAGCTGATACCGCTTAAAATTATGTTATAGCTCTGTATTAACTAACTCGCTGGACGCTGATGTCTATGCATGTAGCACAAAACTACATCCAACTATGTCTATCACTCATGTGTCCTTCTAAAGTCCATACAGTTCAACTCTCATAATCTTCATTTGCATATAGAGAAGACTAAAATCATAGTTAAACGGTTGAACCTATTAAGTGATTAGAGTGAGCTATGTTATCTTCATGTACTTTGTTAACAAGATTTTATTTTGCAGGTTATAAAAGCCTAAAGAGATTCAGAAACCTGGAGATTCTGGATTTGTCTTCAAATAAATTCAACAACAGCATCTTTCCCTTTCTTAATGCCGCTACATCACTCACAACTCTGTTTCTTAAGTCCAACAACATGGATGGCTCTTTTCCTGTTAAAGGTATGTTTCTTCGTTTTTAAAACTAGTTGGATTAGATACCTAGCATGACCTGTTTATTAATGATGCATCTTTTGTTAGATCGATTTAGCTTATCATTATTGTTATAACTTTATATGTCTTATATTCAGTTTGAATCATTCTTATATTTGTTGGAATCCCTCTCAGAACTTAGAGATTTGATGAATTTGGAACTGTTGGACCTGAGTGGAAACAGATTTAATGGCTCCATACCAGTACAAGGTGCCTTTATTTTTTTAGGTTAAAATTTTAATGGATTTAACAACAACATACAACATTGTTGAAATAGTCTGGGCCATCCCTGAAATCATATTTTCAAGTTGCTTATCTTTGTTTGGTTTTTTCCTATGGCAGAGTTAACTTCCCTGAGAAAGCTGAAAGCTCTGGATCTAAGTGGCAATGAATTTTCTGGTTCAATGGAATTGCAAGGCAAGTTTTATCAATTATTTCACTGCTTTGCTAAACACTCGTAGCTAAATTCACGTTTAAATACGTGACTAAAAGTTGTGCATTTGATTATTAATTGTAGGGATTTGCAAATTGAAGAATATACAAGAGCTTGATCTCAGTCAAAACAAACTTGTAGGTCAAGTCCCCTCATGTTTAAATAGCTTGACTGGACTTCGAGTTCTTGATCTATCATCGAACCAATTAACTGGGAAGGTACCATCTGCTCTGGGTAGCCTTAAATCCCTTGAGTACTTGTCATTGTTTGATAATGACTTTGAAGGTCAATTCTCATTTGGATCGCTCGCCAACCTCTCAAAGCTTAAGGTGTTGAAACTTTGCTCAAAATCCAACACACTTCAACTAGTGTCGGAAAGTTCCTGGAAGCCAAAGTTTCAGTTGAGAGTTTTGGCACTACGATCTTGTAACTTGGAGAAGGTTCCTCATTTTCTCCTACACCAAAAGGATTTGCGTCATCTTGATCTCTCTGACAACATTATTTCTGGAACTTTTCCTTCTTGGGTGTTGGCGAACAATACAAAACTCGTGGTTTTGCTTCTGCAGAATAATTCTCTTACGAGCTTTCAGCTGCCGACCTCTGCTCATAACCTGCTTTCCCTGAATTTGTCAGTAAACAAATTCAATCATCTCTTTCCTGAGAACATTGGGTGGATACTTCCTCATTTACAGTATATGAATCTAGCGATGAATTGTTTTCAAGGAAATCTGCCATCATCTCTGGGTAACATGAAAAATATTCAATATTTGGATATATCTCACAACAGTTTCTACGGGAAGCTACCAAGAAGTTTTGTAAAGGGTTGTTATTCCTTGGAGTACTTGAAGTTGTCACACAACAAACTAAGTGGAGAGATTTTTCCAGAATCAGCAAACTTTAGTCGTATAAGTGTGTTGTCTATGGATAACAATTTGTTTACAGGAAAGGCCAGACAAGGTTTGCGGAGTTTGACATCTTTGTCTATGCTTGACATCTCAAACAACAATCTCACGGGTGTTATTCCAAGTTGGATTGGCAAACTTTCATCATTGTCTGCACTACTGATTTCAAATAACTTGTTGGAAGGTGAAATACCTGTTTCTCTGTTCAGCATATCCAGTCTTAGGCAACTGGACCTCTCAGCAAACAGTTTATCTGGGGACATACCGCCACACGTCAATTCCACAGATGGGCTAGTGTTACTCTTGCAAGACAATAATTTGTCAGGAGTTATTCCACACACATTGCTAGCAAATGTCAAAATACTTGATCTAAGAAATAACAGATTGTCTGGATATATTCCAGAGTTCATCAACACGTGGAACATCAGTATTCTGCTTCTACGGGGAAATTATTTAACTGGCCGCATCCCCCGCCAGTTATGTGGTCTAAGCAACATCCAAATTCTGGATCTTGGCAATAATAGACTAAATGGATCCATACCTTCTTGTCTTAGCAACACATCCTTTGGTTTGGGGAAAGAGGATACATCATACGACTATGATTACGAAATTTTTTCTTCGTTTGTCGATTCCTTACATGTTGATTTATATTTCGAGTCTCTGCTCATGCTTGAACGGTTTGGTATGGACTACGAAGCAGGCGCCCAGACGAAAGTTAAATTTGCAACAAAGCATCGATATGATGCCTACATGGGTGGAAATCTCAAATTATTGTTTGGAATTGATCTCTCAGAAAATGAGCTGAGTGGTTGAGATCCCAGTTGAGCTTGGAGGTCTTATGGAACTACAAGCTCTTAATCTTTCTCACAACTACTTTTCAGGAGTGATACCAAAAAGCTTTTCAGGTCTGAAGAATGTAGAAAGCCTTGATCTCTCCTTCAACAGATTACATGGTCGGATCCCACCACAACTAACAGATTTGAGCAGTCTTGCTGTGTTCAATGTCTCATACAACAACTTGTCAGGAGTTATTCCAGAGGGAAGACAGTTTAACACTTTTGATACGCAAAGCTACTTAGGTAATCCTTTGCTCTGTGGAAAACCAACCAACACGAGCTGCGACAACAATAACTTTCAAGAAGCAGGTAATGAAGTGGAAGCTGATGAATCTTTAATCGATATGGTATCTTTCTATTGGAGTTTTGCTGCAGCCTATGTGACAATACTTCTTGGAATGCTTGCATCTCTCTCATTTGATTCTCCTTGGAGCAGAGCTTGGTTCTACATCGTTGATGCTTTCGTCCACAGGGTGAGAAAATTGTTCTGCTAAGTGTTATTTTTCACAAAACCTCAAAAACAGAATTAATATCACAAAACAAGTGAATAACTTGGCTTTGGCTCATGTGCACTGTCTGTCATTGAATAAATGTAATGCTTCAAACTTGGCGAGTTAGTTTCTCTTGTACCAGAAGAAGTTATGTTTAGTTGATCTATCCAGCAAAATAGATTATCTGGAAACATTCCAACTGGGAAGTTTTACATTTGCAGAAAAACATATTCTTTGTCTTCCGGTTGCCTGCACTAACTTTCAGGTCTTAGATTTTTCAGAAGGTGTTGTTATCCATGGTGTGTTACTGAGGAATATCAGCCATATGCTTCCGAATCTGGTATGTATGAATGGCTCTGATACGGTTCCAAGGTAATTTTCCATCGTCTGTAGGTGAGATGAAGAAGATTTCACTTTTGGACCTGTCTCTTACAATAATTCTCCTAGAAGATTTATTCACGGGTTGTTTTTTATGAAAAAACCTGCAGATCCTCGCAAAAACATATTTATGCCAAGATGACATCTTATTTCAAGGGAGATCAGAGTCGGAGTTTTTTTTCTTCCGTAACATGGATTCCAATCCATATAGTAAAATCATAGTACTCTAAGTTCTAACATAACATACTCTTTTTTTTTTTTTTTTTTTTTTTGGAATCAACGCATAACATACTCTCGGAAAATCTCTTTTTATCAAAAAAGAAAAGAAAAACATACTCTAAATCGACTGCACGGCGTCGGAGCTCGACGACGACGAAATGTTGCTATTAAATCCGGTGCCGTTTTAATAGTGGCAGAATCAACCCTTGTTGTGAGGCGTAACCAATCCAAGAGAGCCACATCATCAACTCCGTGATCCCTGTGCAATTTCCTCAACTCTAGTTGGCAGTTTTAACTGAAATATTTCTTGGTATTGTTAGTATAAAAATTCTCTTGGGACATTTTAACAAGAATCTTTTCCAATCTGCATTTCTTATTTTCCTTAATCTTTTCTATTAGTTTTTCTAAAACAGCTATTTCATATAGAATGTGATTTATTGGTATTGAATTAAAAGAAACAGAGAAATTAGAGAGTGATTGTTAGAGCAAATTAGATAGTGAAAGTAGTTGTCACACCAAAAAAAAAGGTAGTGGAAAGTAGAAAGTGATTGATATTTGATAGAGCAAATTTTTACTCTTATTTTCTTTATGTGCTTTATTCATTGATGAGAGGAAACATTTTCCCACTTCATTTCCACTGTTTGGTTAACCAGTCACAACCATGATATAAAGCTTGGTCGACAAAATAAACGATGGTAACCACACATTTTTTACAAAGACCTTGACTTTGTATGCCAAGAGTAAACGAAAGTGATCACACATGTCAACATTATTTCTACTTGGTTTTTTTTTTCTTATAAACGAGGAGGTACTTGCCTTGTGTTTGAGTTTCTATCATTTACTTCTGTTTTTTTAATCTTATTTTACAATGAAAGGGAAGCTTTTCTTGGAAATACACTTGATATGGGTAATGTTAATGTTGGGGCAGCTACATGGATACAAAAGTTGTGTTGAGAACGAAAGGAAAGCTTTGTTGGAGCTCAAGACATACCTGGTCTCAATTAGTGAAGAAGGGGAATCTGACTATGTTCTCCCTACTTGGACTAATGACACAAAGAGCAATTGCTGCCGGTGGGAGGAAATTAAGTGCAATCGTACAAGCGGACGGGTGATCAGGATTTCCTTTGGTGGGTTGTACCTCAAAGAAAGTCCTCTACTAAATCTCTCTTTGCTGCATCCGTTTGAAGAGGTCCGAAGTCTGAACTTAACTGGGTACGGATTCAGTGGCTTGTTTGATGATGTGGAAGGTATACTAGGCTATCCTTAGTGATTAGTTTTAACATTTTGTTTTGCATTGCCACTTTGATAATACAAAGCTTAGATTTTCTCTGTTTCTGTATATTTACTTTGCTGATGTTTGTTGTACCATGTTGTAAGCACATCAGACGCTCACTTACATGCTGTTCCCACTTTCATCGAGTTCATCATCTCTCATAATCTTCATTAAATATTATAAGAAATGATTGGAGTGAGTTATGTTATCACTCTATGCTGACCAATATTCTCGTTTGCAGGTTATAAAGGCCTAAGGAGGTTAAAAAAACTTGAGATTCTGGATTTCTCATTAAATGAATTCAACAACAGCATCTTTCCGTTTCTTAACGCGGCGACATCACTTACAACTCTTTCTCTTCAGAATAACGTAATGAAAGGCCCTTTACCTGGTAAAATTTTGTTCTGCCATGTTGTGACTTGCATTATACCTGTAATTAATTATAGGATGTATCTTTTGTTAGATTCAATTTTATATTTATTTCTTTATATATGTCTTCAATTTAGTTTGAATCTTTCTTATATTCTCCCGGATTTTCTTTCAGAGCTTAAAGATTTGACAAACTTAGTACTGCTGGACCTAAGTAGTAACAGGTTTAATGGCTCCATACCAGTACAAGGTAGTTCAGAGCCATGTTTTATATTTAGTTTATGCCCATAGATGATTGTCTTCCGTGAGGTCCTCATATTCTTAGCTTACCTTTGTATGTCTTTTTCTTGTGGCAGAGTTATCTGCCCTGACAAAGCTGAAAGTTCTGGATTTAAGTGGTAATGAGTTTTCTGGCTTGATGGATTTGCAAGGCAAGTTTTCTCAAATAATTCCCTCTTTGATAAAGATTTGTGGTGAAAGAAATTTCAATAAGTGATTAGACTTCTGCATTTGATCATTGTAGGGATTTGTGAATTGAAAAATATGCAAGAGCTCGATCTCAGTAAAAACAAACTTGTAGGTCAGTTTCCTTTATGTTTAACTAGCTTGACTGGACTTCGTGTTCTGGATCTCTCATCAAACCTGCTGACTGGGATGGTACCATCTGATCTTGGTAGACTTGAATCCCTTGAGTACTTATCGCTGTCTGATAACAACTTTGACGGCCTCTTCTCTTTTGGTTCGCTCACCAACCTCTCAAAGCTTAAGGTTTTCAAAATTTATTCAAAATCCAACTTACTTCAAGTAGAGTTTGAAAGTTCTTATAAACCAAAATTTCAGTTGAGTGTTATTCTATTACGATCTTGCAACTTGGAGAAGGTTCCTCATTTTCTTCTACATCAGACGGATTTGCGTCAAGTTGATCTCTCTGAAAATAAAATTTCTGGCAAGTTTCCTTCATGGCTGTTGGAGAACAACAAGAAACTCGAGGTTTTGCTTCTACAGAATAATTCTCTTACGACATTTCACCTACCGAAATCTTCTCATAACCTGCTTTTCCTGAATGTGTCAGTTAATGCATTCAATCATCTGTTTCCAGAAAATATTGGGTGGATACTTCCTAGTTTACGGTATATGAATCTAGCTAATAACGGTTTTCACGGAAATCTGCCATCTTCTCTCGGTAACATGGAAGAGATTGAATATCTTGATCTATCTCACAACAAATTCCAGGGGAAGGTACCAAGAAATGTTGCAAGGGGTTGTTATTCCATGACAACCTTGAAGTTGTCACATAACAAACTAAGTGGAGAGATATTTCCAGAATCAGTACACTTTACTGATATAACTACGCTGTCTATGGATAATAATCAGTTTACAGGAAAGATTGGACGAGGTTTGCGGAGCTTGGAATACTTGTATATGCTTGACATATCGAACAACAATCTCACAGGTGTTATTCCAAGTTGGTTTGATGAACTTCCATCCTTATCTGCACTACTGCTATCAAACAACTTGTTGGAAGGTGAAATACCTATTTCTTTGTTCAATATGTCTAGTCTTTGGATATTGGACCTTTCTGCAAACAGTTTAGTCGGGGACATACCTCCACGTGTCAGTTCTAGAACTCCAATAGTGTTACTCCTGCATGATAATTATCTATCAGGGGTCATTCCAGACACATTGCTAGGAAATGTCACCATACTTGATCTGAGAAATAACAGGTTGTCTGGGAATATTCCGAAGTTCATCGACACACGAATCATTAGTATTCTGCTTCTACGGGGGAATAATTTAACAGGCTGCATCCCCCACCAGGTTTGTGGCCTCAGAAGCATCCACCTTCTGGATCTTGCTAACAACAGATTGAATGGATCCATACCTTCATGTCTTAGCAACACATCATTTGGTTTGGGGAAAAAGGATACATTCTATGGTTATGATACCGGCGTTATTTCGACTTCCGCAGAAAATGACCGGGTATATTTCAAATCTCTGCTTGTGCTAGATCCGTTTAGTATGGAATACGACGCCAACACCCAGACGAAAATTGAATTTGCAACAAAACACAGATATGATGCCTACATGGGTGGAAATCTCAAATTACTGTTTGGAATGGATTTCTCAGAAAATGAGCTGAGTGGTGAGATCCCAGTAGAGCTTGGAGGTCTTCTGGAACTACAAGCTCTCAATCTTTCTCACAACAACTTATCAGGAGTGATACCCGAAAGCTTCTCACGTTTGGAGAATGTGGAAAGCCTTGATCTCTCCTTCAACATATTACATGGCCGGATACCACCACAACTAACAGATCTGAGCAACCTCGCTGTGTTCAAGGTCTCATACAACAACTTGTCAGGAGTCATTCCACATGGAAGACAGTTTAACACCTTCGATACACAAAGCTACTTAGGTAATCCTCTTCTCTGTGGACAACCAACCAACACGAGCTGCAACAGCAATAACTTTCAAGAACCAGATACTGAAGTGGAAGATGATGAATCTTTCATTGACATGGTGTCTTTCTACTGGAGTTTTGGTGCAGCCTATGTGACAATACTTCTTGGGATACTCGCATCTCTCTCATTTGATTCTCCTTGGAGCAGAGCGTGGTTCTACATCTTGTATTCTTTCATCCACAAGGTTAAGAATTTGTTTGGTAAAACACTGTAGGTGCCAAATGCTTCTTATGTGCTAGTTTCATTCTCGTCCCCATCTGTTGTTGTTTTCTTCTCATACCTCTTTTGTTTTAAAAAAAAAACAGGCTCTTTACTGTCTTTTGTCTTTGAATAAATGTAATGCCTTCAAAAAATATGAATTGAATGCTCTAGTTGGGCTATGTTTTCCTAATTTTTTCAGAAATTTGGTGAATTGTTTTAACAAAAATCTAAGGTTCTGATTGTTGACAAAACCAATGTATTAACATTCAAGACGAATGTAAGAAAAATTCGTTCATGTATAGCACCAGAACAGAGGCTTATGCAGCTCCTGTTACTTGATAAACTCATCAAAAACAACTTTTTAAGTCTTAACAATTTTATACTAATTTTTGCAAGGAAGCAGTTCTCAAACAGCCTAGAAACGAAACAGAGTATCAATTTTTAAATCACTGATCAGAGAACTTATGCCACATGTTGGATTCTGCCTACATATAAAACACCAATGTGTATAATAAAATTGAAACTACACACCAAAAAGCAGATATTACCAGTTTCTTGAATTTGGCATCAATCACAGAAAGGGGTTATCAAACAAGCAAGAAATATGCATCAGACAAATAAAATGGTTCTGGAGGAACCAACATCTAAGTTTCATCAACTTTGTAACACTAAACGACATATAGATTTTCAGTCAACAAAGGTATCACTATATATACAGTTTTTAAAAAGTTGTAAAATATACAAGTTCTAAAACATAAGTCCACAAATCTATAGAATCTAACATAGCAAGTTAGAAACGGTTAAACAAAGATGCAAGATGCATGATGGAAAGATCATACATGCAGGATGCCAGAATTGCTAAAAACAACAATGGAACTTAACAGTAAGTTTGCGACCATACTATTTTGTACTCTAAACTAATACACAACATTTAAAAAACCTACATTCGTAATCTACAAGAAGGGTCTCTTCTTACGTTAAAAGATATACCGATTTATAAATACAATGAGAGACGTATGACACATACAATCACCAAAATAGAGAATACATAATTTCTAATCAAGTAAGGTTTAGATGACAATGTAAACACAGAATGTGTACCTAAATTTATGATGGGATACTCTATTTTAAGTGACTAGATTGAGCCTAAGTTAATTTCCCGACATACTGTTGGAAATACATATCTACCTTTTAGCAGTGGGTAGGTTAGCAGTAAATTCCAAGAATCTAGTGCATACTAGCTCAAGGATAGTAATTTTGCTAAAGACTTGTAACACAGATATATGTCTCTTCCTTAAGTTTAACTAAGTGATTTTCATACGTAATAATATCAATCAATCAATAGATAATGCTAGAATCATAGCAAATACAGTCACTGAGAATCTAAGCAGTTTTCAAGCAGATAACTGAACAACTCAAAATTAGTCCTTGATACAAGTATAACTTAACCTGTGAAGAATTTCATACGTAACCAATTATCAAAATATTAGAAGACCACATACCTGTGATTGTTACAGAAGTCTGCTACACTTGAAATCCCCTCCAGAGTACTTGTGAATTTGACAATATTTTCAAGCACATGCCCTGTGGAAATAAGATAAACAAATCAAAATTAGTCTTTAGTTTAAGTAAACGTCTATAACTTAACCATATACAATATAACCAATGTTCTTAATAACTTATTCTAAAATTTCTTTAAGTGATTGCTTGTTCCGAATCTCAGTCTCTGTCTAAAGACTAAAGAGGTAACAATGTCTTTATCTAAAAGTTCTTTTAAGCCGTGGGTAAAAGATTGGATTTTGAAGCCGTGGTACTAAAACCAATCCAAAGTGATCTGTTTCTTTGTCTAATGTCTTTGTCTAGAAGTTCTTTTAAGCCGTGGGTAAAAGATTGGATTTTGAAGCCGTGGGTACAAAAACCAATCCAAAGTGATATGTTTCTTTGTCTAATGTCTTTGTCTAAAAATTCTTTTAAGCCGTGGGTAAGAGGGATTGGACTTTGAAGCCGTGGGTACTAAAACCAATCCAAAGTGATATGTTTCTTTGTCTATGTCTTTGTCTAAAAATTATTTTAAGCCGTGGGTAAGAGATTGGACTTTGAAGCCGTGGGTACTAAAACCAATCCAAAGTGATCTGTTTCTTTGTCTAAAGACTGAAGAAGTAACAATGTCTGTCTAAAGACTAATGATGAAGCCGTGGGTACCATAACATAAGCCAATCAAATCTTTTGTCTAAAACTCTTTTAAGCCGTGGGTAAAAGATCGGTTTATCCGAATCTCAGTCCCTGTCTAAAGACTGATGATGTTTTAAGCCGTGGGTACTGTTTCTTTGTCTAAAGACTGAGAACAAACCGAACATGATCCATGTCTAGAGATTTTCAAGCCGTCCGTACCATGAAGGATCAATGTTCGAATCAGTCTCAGTCTAAAGACTAATGTTTAAGCCGTGGGTACCATTTTCCTCCAAACATAAGCCAATCCAATCTTTTGTCTAAAGGATTGGTTTATTCGAATCTCAGTCCCTTCTCAGTCCCAGTCTAAAGACTGATGATGTTTTTAAGCCGTGGGTACTGTTTATTTTTCTAAAGACTGAGAACAAACCGAACATGATCCATGTCTAGAGATTTTCAAGCCGTGGGTACCATGAAGGATCAATGTTCGAATCAGTCTCAGTCTAAAGTCTAATGTTTTAAGCCGTGGGTACCAATTTCCTTCCACCAAACATAAGCCAATCCAATCTTTTGTCTAAAGGATTGGTTTTTCCGCATCTTAGTCTCTGTCTAAAGACTGATGATGTTTAAGCCGTGGGTATTGTTTCTTTGTCTAAAGACTGAAAGACCAAACCGAACATGATCCATGTCTAGAGATTTTCAAGCCGTGGGTACCATGAAGGATCAATGTTCAAATCAGTCTCAGTCTAAAGACGAATGTTTCAAGCCGTGGGTACCACTTTCCCTCCACCAAACATAAGCCAATCCAATCTTTTGTCTAAAGGATTGGTTTTTCCGCATCTAAGTCTCTGTCTAAAGACTGATGATGTTTAAGCTGTGGGTACTGTTTCTTTGTCTAAAGACTGAAAGACCAAACCGAACATGATCCATGTCTAGAGATTTTCAAGCCGTGGGTACCAATGAAGGATCAATGTTCGAATCAGTCTCAGTCTAAAGACTAATGTTTCAAGCCGTGGGTATCATTTTCCTTCCACCAAACATAACCCAATCCAATCTTTTGAATAAAGAATTGGTTTTTCCGAATCTCAGTCTCTGTCTAAAGACTGATGATGCTTTAAGCCGTGGGTAACTAGATCTTTGACCAGTAAACTGAAACCAATTCCAAATATATTTGTCAAAGAAATAAGCCGTGGGTAAAGGAACGGTTTCAGTCTCGGTCTAAAGACTATATAAGCCATGGGTCCAAACTCGACGGGACAATGTCCCCAAAAAAGAACCTGACAGAACACTAATAATTGAGTGTCTGCCTATGATCTCTTTTGGGTTCGAAAGAAAAACAAAACAAGGAAGAAACCAAACAAAAAAAAAGCCAGAAGAACCAGAGCAACAAACCACAACCGACCGTAACAATTTTACGTTTAATCAAATTATCGAAAGCGCTACAAAATAAAAACAAAACAAAAACGAAAAGCAATCCCTCTTAAACAAAATCGAGTAACACAAAATCAAGCAATTCACAGGAAACTTTGAAACGCAGAGTCGCGATTCGTTTGTTTTTCAAATTATCAAAGCCGCTTCAAAACAAAAAGTAAACCAGAACCAACAAAACAAAAATTGATAATAGTGACATTTAGAAACCCTAGAAATCAAGAGAATTGGAAGAATTCTTACACTTACAATGATCACAGCTACAAATCTTCTTCGGGCCATGAATTAATCGATTGAGAGAAATATGCGAAACAGAGAAAGAACAGATTGTTGTGAAATTTAGAAAACCTAGAAATCAAAAGAATTGAAAGATTTCTTACCGTGGTTATCGCTACTAATCGTCTTCGTCATGATATAGCGATCGAGAAAAAAAATACGCTAAACAGAGAAAGAAGAAGGCGAAACAAAATTATGAGAAAAATAATAAACACTACTTATGGCGGTGCCAGCTGTCTAATTTCCTTTTCTTAAAACGCCTAATTTCCTTTTTCTTAAACCCTAGTTTATAGTTTCCATTTATTAAACATGGGCCTTAAGTTAGCCCAATTGAATTAATTGGCCGATTGATTACCCTGGGGCCTGGGCTATGATCATTTTTAGCTTCTGTTTGTTTTAAAAATAAAGTCAAATAGTACAAAACTTACAATTTTTAATCATAATACAAAAATCCCACTAGTCAAAGCTTTTTATGTAAGTAATCCAAGCAAAATCTAGGTTATGTATTATGTAAACAAGGGATTTATGACTGTTTTCTACAAAGGACCTTTGACTTGTCTTATCATACAATTCAAAGTAAACGACGATAGTCGATAGTGATCACTCGCTTTACACATCTCACATGACTTTTTAAGTGCTTTCACTATCTGAGGCTTGGACTTTTTCTACATTTACAATCAATTCTTGTTGACTTCTCATACGCTTGGAGGTAATTTGCATTGAACTAACAACACTTCCAAATTGCTTTGGATTCATTTGCTTTTTTTTTATCTTATTTGCAATGGAGGGGACGCTTTTCTTGGGACAATACTTGATATGGATGATGATACTGTTGGCACAGCTACATGGATACAAAAGCTGTATTCAGAAAGAAAGGACTGCTTTATTGGAGCTCAAGAAATACCTGATCTCAACAAGTAGAGAAGGGGCCTTCGACCATGTTCTCACTACTTGGACTAATGACAGAAACATCAATTGTTGCCACTGGAAGGAAATTAAGTGCAATCTTACAAGCGGACGGGTGACCAGGATTGCCTTTGGTAATTTGTATCTCAAAGAGAGTACTCTCCTAAATCTTTCTTTGCTCCATCCCTTTGAAGAAGTTCAAAGTCTGAACTTATCTGGATCCAATATCAATGGCTTGTTTGATGATGTTGAAGGTATACCAGAGTTTCATTACTAGTTAGTTATATCATTGTTGTTTGTTTTTCCTGAGTTAGGGTTCTGTATCTCTAACGAATCTTAGTTCATTGTTTCTAATTCATGAATCATGAAAGTTAATAACTTATACTAGCGGGATTTATTTGTTTCTACGTTAACTTGCTGATGTTTGCCAATTTGTGTCCCATGTTGCATGTTCTAATCACATCAGACTGAGATATAGACTGAGATATGTTTGCCAATTTGTGTCCCATGTTGCAGGTTATAGAAGCCTTAGAAGATTAAGAAACCTGGAGATTCTGGATCTCTCTTATAATGAATTCAACAAGAGCATCTTTCCCTTTCTTAATGCTGCTACATCACTTACAACTCTGTTTCTTCAGGGGAACAACATGGATGGTCCTTTTCCTGTTGAAGGTGTGTGTTTTTTTATATTTGGATCTAGCATGGCCCTATTCTTGATGATGGCCTATTCATTTTGCATCATTCGTATACTTTTTGAATACCTTTTCAGAACTCAAAGATTTGACGAACTTGGAAATGCTGGACATAAGTGAAAATAGATTTAACAGCTACCTACCAGTACGAGGTAGCTAATGCTTTATATTCTTTTCTACAGTGGAAATTTAATGGCTGTGTACAATATCATTAGGATCTTGTTTAAAGATGTTTTCCTTTGTGTGGCTTTGTGGCAGATTTACCTGCCCTCAGGAAGCTGAAAGCTCTGAAGCTAAGTGGTAATGCATTTTCTGCATCAAGAGAATTGCAAGGCAAGTCTGCACAAATCTTTTACTTTTGCATTATGTCTGATACACGTTGAATTTATTATGTGAATAAATTTTTTGCATTGGTCACCTTAGGGGTTTGCGAACTGAAGAATATGCAAGAGCTATATCTTAGTTACAATTATCTAGGTCAGTTTCCTCTATGTTTAACTAGCTTGACTGGACTTCGAGTTCTTGATCTCTCCTCGAACCAATTGACTGGGAAGCTACCTTCTGCTCTCGCTAACCTTGAATCTCTTGAATACTTATCTTTGTTTGATAACAACTTCGAAGGCCACTTTTCTCTTGGTTGGCTCGCCAACCTCTCAAAGCTTACGGTGTTCAAGCTTTCTTCAAAAGCTAACTCACTTCAAGTAGAGTCTGAAAGTTCTTGGAAGCCGAAATTTCAGCTGAGTTTTATTGTGCTACGGTCTTGCAATATGGAGAAGGTTCCTCATTTTCTCCTACACCAGAATGATCTGCGCCAAGTTGATCTCTCTGACAATAATATTTCTGGAAAGTTTCCTTCTTGGCTGTTGGCGAACAATACCAAACTCGAAAGTTTGCTTCTACAGAATAATTCCTTAACCAGCTTTCAACTACCAAAAGCTGCTCACAATCTACTTTTCCTGGAAGTGTCAGTTAATGAATTCAATCAGCTCTTACCAGATAACATTGGGTGGATACTTCCTCGTTTAAAGTTCATGAATCTTGCTAACAACAGTTTTCAAGGATATATGCCATCTTCTTTTGGTAACATGGAAATGATTGAATATATGGATATATCTCGCAACGGATTTGACGGAGATCTAGCATCTTCTCTCGGTAACATGGAAAAGATTGAATATATGGATATATCTCACAACAATTTCCATGGGAAGCTACCAAAACGTTTTCTTAACGGTTGTTATTCTTTGGTAATCTTGAAGCTTTCACATAACAAACTAAGTGGTGAGATTTTTCCAGAATCAACAAACTTCACTCGTGTATCTCTTCTATCTATGGATAACAATCTGTTCACAGGAAAGATTGGACAAGGTTTACGGAGATTGAGATCATTGCGAGAGCTTGACATCTCCAACAACAAACTCACGGGTGTTATTCCAAGTTGGATTGGCGAACTTCCATCCTTAAATGCATTACTGCTTCCAAACAACTCGTTGGAAGGTGACATACCTGTTTCCTTGTTTAACACATCATATCTGAAGCTAATAGACCTCTCTGCAAATAATTTATCTGGGGGCATACCTCCATACGTCAGCTCTGAATATGGGGCAAAGTTATTCCTGCAAGACAATAATTTATCAGGGGTTATTCCAGAAACATTGCTTACACATGTCGATGTACTTGATCTGAGAAATAACAGATTGTCTGGGAATATTCCGGAGTTCACCAGCATCCAAGAGATCCGTATTCTTCTTCTACGAGGGAACAATTTAACAGGCCATATTCCTCGGCACTTGTGTGCCAACATTCAACTTCTTGATCTTGCTAACAACAGATTAAATGGATCTATATCTTCATGTCTTAGCAATAATACGTCACTTGGTTTGGGAAACGAGGATTATACGTCATATGCTGATGCAGTTGAAGTCTTCCCTGACTCTGATACTGAAACGGACTACACAGAAGATGTAGATTTGAAATATAGGCGTACGCTAGGTCGACAGAATGGAACTAGCTACGATGCAGCCACCAAGACGAAGATTGAGTTTGCAACAAAACACAGATATGATGCCTACAAGGGTGGAAATCTCGAATTATTGTTTGGGATTGATCTCTCAGAAAATGAGCTGAGCGGTGAGATCCCTGTAGAGCTTGGAGATCTTCTGCAACTACTTTCTCTCAATCTTTCTCACAACAACTTATCAGGTGTGATACCAGAAAGCTTCTCACGTTTGGAGAATGTGGAAAGCCTTGATCTTTCCTTCAACCGACTACAAGGCAGGATCCCGCCACAACTAACTGATCTGAGCAGCCTAGCTGTGTTCAATGTCTCATACAACAACTTATCGGGAGTCATTCCACAGGGGAAACAGTTTAACACCTTCGACACGCGAAGCTACTTAGGTAATCCTCTTTTTTGTGGGAAACCAACCAACCTAAGCTGCGAGAGCAATAGCTTTCAAGAACCAGATCATGGAGTGGAAGCTGATGAATTCACAACCGACATGGGATCTTTCTACTGGAGTTTTGCAGCAGCCTATGTGACCATACTTATTGGGATACTCGCATCACTCTCTTTTGATTCTCCTTGGAGCAGAGCTTGGTTCTACATCGTTGATACTTTCGTCCTCAAGGTTAGGAATTTGTTGTGTTAAAACACTGCATGTGCCCCATGCATGTTCTTACGTGCTAGTTTCAGTGTCGTCCGCATCTGTTGTTCTTCTCAAACCTACTGCTGTGTTTCACAAAACCAGAACATAACTTATGTTTTGGTTCCTCTGTACTGTCTTTTGCCTTTGAATAAATGAAATGCCTCATACATATCTTGTTGGTGGTTGGCTCAATACATAATCTACTGAAATACACGAATTTGCATGAAACAATCTTAGTACACAAACCCAAAAAGTAGATAATGAATACAGAGAAATTCCCATTAGCTGTCTTTCTTCTTTTATGAATTCTCTTACTATATCGCTTTACAGTTTTTTTCCAGGTAGCCATCTCAAGAACTTCAGTAATTACATAACACACCATATGATTATTATTCTGCTGTAGAATACAGAAGACCCAAAAACGAGCGTAAGAATCAGCAAGACAAAAAAAAGACCAGAGTGAAACATAGAACACAGTTAAAGAGTTAGAGAAAGAAGAGAAACTACTTGCGTATATATTTTGTCTTCTTCAACAGACCCAGCTACTGGTCTGCAAAAAGCGTTCTTCGCCTTCCTGACTTTGCTTGCTGATGGCTAGTCTCTGCATGCACGATTTCATTAACCAGATCCTTAAAGATAAGCCTCTCCACATCTAGCACCAATCCTGAGATTTCTCCACTGAAGTCTGCCCAGTTCCCAGATCGAATCCTCACATCTTCAGCAAGTATACTTTTCAAGAAGTCGTCTTCTTCCTCCAACAAGAAGTTTTCTGATCTCTTTGTGGCTTGCTTTTGCTGTGTTTCTATCGCTGAACACAGTTCTTTCAGCAGTTGTTGCGCACTCACGGCTTTCTTAGTCATCTTAGCATATGACTTCATCAATGGATTCGCCGTGGCTTCAACTGAAGCTAGTTTCTCCACCAGAATCTCATTAACGGTGTCAAACACAAGTTTTCGGTTGAGCTTCTCATTTTTCAGAACCTTACTTTCTTCTTTGTGTAACAGATGCATAGTGCTGCTTCCCTTTGTCTGCTCAAGAACAAAGAACAGCTCAGGATTGATTGGGTGGCCAGAAGGGTGTAGTTGAAAAGTTGTCAATCCTGAGCCAAGGTCTCTGAGGAGAAGACCCGAGGCTAATAGAATCTCAGAGATGTATCTATGATCGGTGGTAGGATCTGCGTTCTCACAGAGCGATGCAATATAATCTTGGCTGGCTTCATCATGGCTAGAGTTCAATCGTCTGAGCTTTTGAACCAAGTGCTCAACATTCTGAAGCTTCTTACGGTTTATCTCTGGCGAAAAGCTTGATGTGGTTTCTGAGAAACTGTAAGCTGGATTCCACTGGTCCTCACAATGATCATCACAAAAGTCATGGGCAACATTACCTATCACATGATCAGTTCTGAGTCAGAAATGGAGGAACTAAAATCCAATCCTTGTACTGAAAAAATATTGTAAAAGAGAAACTTTCACAAACTAAACAAGCTACAGGCAGATGTAAGAGTTAACCCCTGGTCATAGAATCTTAAAGTGACTTTGATGTTTGCAAGTTCTTATCCATGCCAATATTCTCAGATGTTGATGACCACGAAGACACTAGAGATAGAATCCTTTTGTTACCTTGTGTCTTCACGGGTGATGGTTCAGTCTCTCTGTACGTTGAAGCGTCGAGAACAGAAATAGGACTTGGATGTTCCAAAGCAACTAGTGAAAGGTTAGCTGACAATCCATCTTCACTAAACCTTGGACTGGATTTCTGAAAACACAAAACAAACCTTGTGAGAACTAAGTGAAAAACTTTTGACACCTAACACTTAGAAATATAAATGAGAGTCAGAACTCACATTCTGCATTAAGTTAGAGACTACAGCTTTGGCTGCCTCGATTACAGATGGACTTTTACCACCATCGGCTTCAGTAGCTTTTTCTACCCAAGCAGAGGCTTCTGTTTCGGATTGAGTACAAATGTCATGACTTGACGTCCTAGATTCATTGCTTGCTTGACTAAGTTGGTCATCGTTTTGCTGCAAACTCTTCTGAGCCCTGGGTCTACGTCTGCCACCAGGAGAAGTAGATTCCACAAGTTGTTGGTTTGACGGTTTCCTTGATTTGCTAGAATCAGGAGGGGTTGGTGGCCGTGAACGTTTATCATACTCAAGCTTCTTCTGCTGTAATCTTGGACTAACAGATCCTGAACTCTTTGAAGTACTTTCTTTGGAAACCTGCTGAGGCTTTTTGGAAGAAGACCGCACATTTCTGCTGTCAGATTTCTTATCAAAAGAGCTGGTACATGATTCAGCTCTTCGGATTCCAGGACTACGAACTTTTGTCACCCGTTTATTACTTGCTGATGTTTCTTTATCATCAGGTTTTTCTCTACGGATCTTATTAATGCCAGATAGGCTGTGAATGGGAATAAGGGATGACGCAGGAATACCAGCCTTTTCAACAAGCTTGGCAGGTTTCATAATCACAATCGGGGACTGATATACCTGGTTAGATGAAGATGAAGAAGACTGGACTCTCGCTCTGGATGGCATCGCATGGTTGGAGGTTGCAGAACTTTCTCTTTCATAATCTCTTTGAGCTGCAAAGTTTGAGGATTGTAGTTGTTTCTCAGTATCCAGGAAACCCTTTGACTGCATAGACTCTAATATCTGTTTAAGAGCTCGCAGATCTTTTCCAGAATGTTTAAACTCAAGATCATTCAATCTCCGCTCCATTTCACTGTACACAGTAGGAGGAAAATTAGGTGCCTCATACGGCTTTGCTTTCACAGGCATGCTAGCTTGCTTTTGCAAAACTCGGTTTCTATCAGCTTGTTTCCATGGAGCTGGTTCAATAGGGAATCTTGTATTTGATAGAGGTTTCATAACAAAATCAGAGTTTCTCCATCTTGGAGAAGCCGGGTCCTTCCCCAAGCTTCTCGGTGAGCTAGGAGAAAAACGGATTGCACGGTTCAGGTTTTTCTCCCTCAATGATCTTGAGAATGGATCGTCATTTTGGTCAGAGATGTTGGTTTTGTTCAAACCAAACTGATGAATGTCTCTACCCAATGGAGAACCAGGCAATGTCTCCAATCCCATGAGCTTTGCAACAACACTGGGAGGCCGTTTCTTGCTGCTGCTTGAACAACTTTCACTGAAACTTTCAGAAAGCTTACTTGTTTTAGGGTCAACGCTGGAGTTTCGCATCACTCGATCTCTACTATCCAGCGAAAGCCTAGGCAACTCTTTCAGCTTGTGTCTGGATTTCAGCGTATCATGAGAATCAACTGAGTAACGAGGTGCATCTTTCGTGCCAACCTCATTATAATGTTGAGATGTTTCTCTAAGTTTCGCTAGAACTCTGAAGGACTCATTGAGATCCACAGGAGTTGATTGCTTCAAACCATAAGGCCTTGGAGAATCTTCTCGTCTGCTCTGTCTAACTCCTTCATCTCTTGTCATTGGAGACTTAACCAAAAGCCCTCTGGCTTCTCTATACATTGAGTCTCTCACAACATCTCTGAGGTCAAATCCCAAATGTGAAAACCCATTCCCTTCAGTCATCTCAGGATCACTTGTAGGAGATTCTTGAAAATTGGCTCGGTCATACGCAGAAGCTTCAGGTTGAACTCCTCTATTGAACTCAGAAGAGGATGGGGAGGACGAGCACGAAGATGAGAAAGAAACTCTCGATGATTCTGTTGAAACCCTTCGCTTCTCTTTCACATTTCCACCAATGTTGGAGTCCTGAAACTGACTTACGGTGTCTTTTTGTTGATAACTTGTATCAACAGTCTCTCTCTCGTAGTTGATGCTATTGGCATTTCCATTACCTGCAACAAGCACATAAAACAAGCATGAGCATCAAATCAAAACTCTCAAACATGAAGCACCCGATTACGCATTGATAGAAACGATTAATAAAACCTACAAGAACCTGCTAGTCAAACTTGAATTTATCACATTTGGTTGCAAACTCCATGAGCCTAAGGTTAATAAAAGTCAAAATCTACCAAGAAAAAACCGGTCATAAGGGAAATTAAATCTAACCAAAAAGATTCGGTAGATCAACACAACTGAGAAAGAAAAAGTAACAACCATAACTTAAGATCTCTGAGACACTAACAAGACCTGGTTAATGGAAGAATCACTACATTGGCAGATGAAGAGCCATAACAAAAACAGAGAAGGAGAAACATACAAAGAGAAAAGTAAAAGACATGAATATAAGAATTACATATGTGACCATATAACAAGTCAACGACTACTAGACACGAACCATAGAGATCAGAAGAGAGTGTTTAAATTATCAAAATATAAATATATATAGTAATTATTATTTTACCTAAAGTAAGGCTTTTTCGCCGGCCAGTTAGAACATGGTGGCGATCAAAGATTTGAAAAATCCCATTCATACATCCAATTTGCTTCTGAAGATCTGAACTATCATCTGCCAACGAATGCAGAAGCTTCGCAGCCATTTCTACAGATCACAAAAACAATTCTCCGGCGCCGGAAACTTTCTACAGAAAGATTCAAAAAGACTTGTCCTTTTTTTCTTTTTGGCTTAGAAAACTTTCTTCAGTGATGTGTTCACCTTTATTGATTTCCAAAAACCCAAACTTTTTGACTCAATGATGTGTTTGCAATAATTTGGAAGAGATAACTTTAAAAGCTTTCTTTTTCTTCTTTCTCTCAATCTCCATCATCAAACAGTAACCACCATTAAAACTATAACGAGAATGACGCACCTTCCATATTCATATAACTCCAAAATTTTAGCCTTTCTCTTTGTAGAAAAACTTGAAACCCGTTAAGATTTCAAATCAGAAGACACTCAGCTTAATTAAAGCTCAAAAACCCCCAAAATTAATCTGAGTCCTACACTAACAGCAATCAACCTACGGATCTAAAAAAGGAAATAAAGTTTGTGCCTTTTTACAAACCTAGATTCCCAGATTCCACTGAAGACAAAAGGAAAAAATGAATAAAGATAAAAACCCTTTTGGTAATTAGATCCAATCGTCAATAAACTACTAAACCATAAACAGAAGACTAGAACATGTGTGCTCCTTTTGTCTGAGAAGTTTGTCCTAAAACACAAAATGTGCGTTAAGTCTACAGAACCAATGAAAAGAAAGAGTTGCAGAAAGCAGAGAAACCGCCAAATCAAGAAGAGAGAA